TTCTTTGAATGAATTATATGTTATATGCAATGTGAGTTATGGGGTGTTACAATGGGGACGGGGACGGGTATCGTACTCCCCGCCCTGCCCGCCCCGCCCCGTCCCGTCCCGTACCCGTTATATATTAATTAATAAATTATATACATATATATATATATATATATGTATATTATTTATTTCAACTGAAGCTACAATTCATAATTTTCTATTTCCTAACTAGGTTTATAATCTAAAATTGTTATTTTTTGGATGTTAATATGTAATATTTTGGATGTCAAGACAAAATACAAATACTCGATAAGTTTTGTATTTTACTCGATATGGTTTTATATTACTCAATATCTTTTGGTACATGTGACTTTAAGTTTTTTTTTTTTTTTTTGTATTAAACTGATTTTTTTTTTTTTGGTTTTAGGTTATTAGTTCTTATATGATGTTGTGATTTTTTTTTGTATTAAAGTAAATTCATTTTGGTTTTAGGTTTACTGAAAATGTTTGAGATTTAAACATGTATGGTCTCTCACATATTTAATCTGAAATAACTTACATAAACGAGAAAAAAAAATTCCCTGTTTCCCTATTGAGGATGGGGATGTGATTATATTCCGTGGTGGGATGGAGACGGGGATGGGGATAGAGATAAGTAATCGGGGTCGGGGACGGAGATTGAGGTCCCTGCCCCATTCCCATGCCTAAACTGTACCAAGCTAGTGGTTAAGAGTTTCATCAAGGAAAAGGCGATGAACCTCTTATGGTAATAGTTATTGGAGAAACTTAGTGAGAATGCTAGAATAGACCTTCAGCGAAAATCATACTCTTAAAGAGGCATTGTATAAGTCACAGTTCATGTGTCGAGGTAATAATAGTAGCAGAGGACCCATTCAAGAATGCTTATATAGTATTCCTTACCACCTGGGTAAATTCGACATGACATTAAGTACTCCACTTCAGAGGAGTATGATAGATTGCAGTCAGATCTGATTTTGTGGAAATCATCGAAGGGTAGAATGCATGTGAGGAACATATTTAGTATGATAAAAGTTGTCCGGTGATTTAGGAATAAATTCATTTTGGGCATCATTTATAGAATTGAGCCACTGAGATCGTATGTCACCCTAGAGGTAGTACGATTCATCCTAAGGTTGGGAGGCAACCGAGAGTCTAGTTTTGGGTGATTGCTGTAATAGTGTTCAATATTACACTAGTTTTGGTGTAATATTTTCATTTAGGTTCGAATGTAGAGATCAACGTGGTTATCGACATGGCAGTTTGGACATGAATATATCAGGTTCCAGTTAAAGTTTGAGTTTGGTGGAAACATTCCCTAGGAAGATGAGCCACTGGCTTAGTGAAAACATAATAGTTTGGACTTTGTATTCTCGTTATGTGATCCCCTTGGAAGAGATAGATGATGTGCCGTTTGCCAAACTTGTGCCCCGAGTATGGTGACGTTCTTTTGAGTTGTTCTATGTGCCCCTTATGGTTCAGATGTGAAGAAAAAATATATGACTACATTGTCGGGTAACTCTTGGGTCAAAATTTGTTTGATTTGGGTAAATATCATTGCATTAAGAATTGAGTATCCCGATCAATGGGGTATTTGAGTTTTCAAAGAAAAAATCATTCTAAGGTTGGAAAATTTGTGACACCCGGATTTTGAGTATCCATAATTTCGAGCTTCGTATGTATTTTTTCCTTAAATATAGATGTATCGTGGATGTTGGTTGAGTTGGTTATCGCATTTGACAAAACAGATCAACTTTTGGTCAAAAATTGCACTGCTCACACTCTCGCAACTATTTTGCTTGCACCTGTAAGTATACCCCAAAAAGTGGACAAAACTACATTTATATACTGCTAGCGCCCACGCTTTGCTCGCGCTTGCGAGCATCTGCAGCCCCTTTAAATCTGATTTTCTCCTTTTTTTTCTTCACCAACTCACTTCTCTCTCTCTATCTCTCTCTCTCTCTCTCTCTCTTTCTCTATCTCTCTCTCATTTTTGGTCCAAGAATATTCCTTTTCCAATATCAAATTCTTCAAGAGCATTTAAGAGCTACTAAAGATCAAGATTTCAAGTCTAGCTCGAAGATCTGAGTTCATCTTCTTCATCTCCATTTTGACCATTGTTGATCTAGTTTTTGAGTTCTTCTTAAAAACGATTTGTGAGTCATCCTAACCATTCTAAACCCTTATTCTTGTTGAAAGCTTTCGTTTTAACCTATTAGAACATCCCTTTTGGTGTATCTCCATTATATTGAGTTTTTTTTTTTTTTTATCATTTTGGGTGTTTTGGGTGATTTGAAACTTTGGCTAAGGATTGTATGGATTTGATTTTGGGGCTACTTTTGGTACATCTTTAGGCTTGGTTGAGACTCAGATAAAGTTCCTACAGGTGGGTGTTGAAGGATCTAAACCCTTCACCATTTTGGAAGCTAGAAATGGATTTAGAACCTAGGTTTAACCTAACCTAGCAAGGTGCGTTCAAGTTGTTTGGCAAAAACTATGTACATGCCAAAAGTGCGTACTTTGATATATTGAAATGTTTTCTTACTATTAATCATATGTGTTCAGTATTTGATGAAGTTTACACGCTTGGTATTTTTGGGTTAATATATCTTCAAAATGCAAAATGCATATATTTGCAATCTTTGAATATTTTGTTAAATAAATAATAATTTTAAGTTCTTTTGATGATTTATCCCATAAATGGGGATTATTTGATGTTATATGCATTTTGGTGTAGATGGTTTTATAAATCGTTTAGAAAATTAACATTTTTGTGTTACGAGGCATTTTGGAAATACAAATAGTATGATTTCGTTTTGAAAAGAGTGTGTCCCAACTATTGATGAGTTTTATGAGTAAATCATACTTTTAGAGCATGTGTTTGCATAAACGTTAGTTAAATGCATTTTATTGCTTTTGATGACTTTTATTTATCATTCAATTGACTTATTGAGCTTTTGGCTTAGTTATGACTTAAATAAGTCTTGGGGACGTTGTCCAATTTGAATGGCTCTATATTGAGCTTTTGGAGTTATATGCATTTACAACATATTCGTTTACAAAATTACATGTTTTGAGTGCATTGGTCATTCATTAGAGTCATTTAACTTAGATTGTGCTGCATTGGATTCATAGGTATACTAATCAATCTTGTGTGATGGTAGTTCGGGTAATGCAGGGTTGAATTCTAGGGTTGAATTCCAGGACCCTTGTTTTATGACCTTAAACTTTTCAAAAAGTTACTAGGAGGGTTGAGTGGGAGAATGCATGTCTTGGTGACACACAGGATCTCCGCCGCTTGATGGTGTTCCTTTTTAAGTAAACACTAAATTCGCTGAGCCTTGAGGTGGAATTCGTAAGAATAGACACTGAAGTCAACAGACTTTTGAGGTGCAACTTGTTAAGGAGTTGTAGAAACATTTGGACTTTAAGTCGTGAAGTGTTATGCGATTAACGTTGTATGAGTGGCACATCTACGTGTTCTCGTTACTCCCAACAGGCATATGTCTCCCCGTTGTTGTAAACGTTGCTTCCGGATATTGTATTATCCATGTTTTAATGTTAGTTGGGTTTTGGCAAGTAACCATAATTTATGATTTTGATATATTGGATCCCCTCAATATATTAAGGTTATGAATAAAAAGGTTATATTTTGGATTTCAATCCTATTTCTAATTCATGTGAGTATTGGTTTGGTTCCACAATTGTGAGGTATTTTCTATTTAAGTGTTTTATCACAAAAATAGAGGTTTTGAAAAAAGATATCACTTTTTATTCTAAATGGCTTTCATGTATGAAATTTGGGTTTAAGAAACATCCTTTCCATTTTACTGCTTTATATAACGGATGAAAACAACTTAAATTCACTAGGCGTTAAGCGTAATCCTTTTTCTTTTGCCGACATGTGTATTAGATCCTTGTTGGGGTTTGGTTCTAGCATCACTACTATGAGTTAAGCGCTAGCTAGATGCACGAGAAGATTTTAGCTTAACATTGATGTCTTCCACACTTGGAGATAGCGACAATTATTGGATAGTAGTAATACCCGACCTTAACTTAGTCTATAGCTAAGGCTCGGTGTATCGTTTATTGATCTTGATTTTATATTTGATATTCGAAGTAATTCAAGTATTCGCTAATAAAAAAAAGGATTTACCCTTTATTTGTTGGATGACCGGAATTTTTTAAATTAGTCGCTTTTTCCAGATTTTAGGGTGGTACAGTAACGAAAATGGTAATAGATAATTGATAAAACCAAATTCCATTTGAACTATAATTAATATTGTTAAACCTCAAACATATATGCCAAACATAAACTCATAAATATAGTAATTATTGTATAAGACTTGAATCAAATGAGAACCACAAAAAGGCTACAAATCCCGTAAGTATCGATTTAAAAATAATTTTTTACATGATTTTTTTTTTCATCAAGGGTAATATGGATAACAAAAAACCGTTTATCCATGCCTACCCACTAAAATTTCGGATAAACGGATAATGTATAAGTGGATAAATGATAAGATTTTCTTTAACTATATCCTTATCCAACGGTCGAAAATAAGAGGTAACGAGTTTGCTCTTACCCTAATACTTATCCGAACTGTAAAAACTGCGAATTATCCCATTTTTTCATTAAACTCGATTTAAGAAGAGTGAGTCCTCTTCTAATCGATTAGGATTTCAAATTTAAATAAATAAAATAATTACAATTCGATATTATTTAAAAAATTCCTCAATAAACCAACATTATTTTTAATCAAATAATTAATGTCATTATTTTTATGCTCATCTCAATAGTTTTGTATTTATTGAAATAAAACTTACAACCTCACCTGAACACGATAATTTCCAACATTTGTGTTCCTCATTATTTATATATAATTAGTACAGAACATAGTCTTGGTTATATAAAGAAGGATTACATAATGGACCCAAATATTTATATATAATTAGTACATAATGTGTATATATATATATTCTGGATTCTCATATCAAGGTTTAAAAGCTGAGAATGCAACAACAGAGTTGTGTCCGCCAATACCGAAAGAATTCGAGATGGCTGCATACCAAAACGTTCGAATAAGTTAACAACATATTCATGGCAAATGAATGAGAGAGAACTGGAAACAAACTCACCAACGTTGATTTCGTGTTCCTGCTTTCGATTTGCAACAGTATCGAATTCTATCCCCGGTTCTTGGTTCTACAAATTTTTAAGTAATTAACGTGATAATAAAAGAAGAAAGAAAGGAAAAACGTAGGAGCGTATGCACATACGAATTGATTAATGGTGGGATGCAACCATCCTGTCTGAATTGCTTTAATTGTGGCAATGGCTTCCAGACCTCCGGCCGCTCCCAAGCCGTGTCCGATCATAGACTGCAACATAAACAAGAAGATAACTGATGTCAGCATGAAACTAGTTAATCATGTTATGGGGATAATTACATATTTCGACCATGATCTCATTCACCTTGGTAGCGTTCATCTTGATCCCTGTAGTTTTCTTGAATACCTTCTTCAGAGCCTTAATTTCCGCTAGATCGCCATTCACTGTGGAAGTTGCATGTGCATTGATATAATTCACCTCCTCTACCGACACACCAGCATCCACAAGACAGCTCTGAATGCATGATGAAACGCAAAGCCCATCGGATCGTGGACTCGTTACATGATAAGCATCACAATTTACAGCACCTCCCAAGTATTCTGCAAGAATTGGAGCATCCCTTTTCATTGCATGTTCCAAACTCTCCATCACCTACATAACCAAATATAAGAACCAAGATAAGCTACAACACTTTGATCTTTACACTCTATGATAAGTGAATGGATATGTAGATCAAATCCAAAGATGAAAAATGGAGGTACTGGAATTACCAAAACACCGGCACCTTCACCCACAACGAAACCATCTCTATCTTTGTCCCATGGCCTAGAAGCAGTCTTCGGGTCGTCGTTTCTTTTAGACAATGCTCCACTAGCAGAAAAACCTGCTACTGCTAGGGGAACCAGAAAAGCCTCAACGCCACCAGCAATCATCAAATCAACATTCCCTTCACGGATATGATTTGCAGCTGCGTAGAAGCAGAAGTTGGAGGTTGCACAAGCAGCTGAAATGGAGTAGTTTGGTCCCATAAAACCAAGATCCATAGCAAGCAATGCAGGACCCATGCTTGGTAGTATGTATGGGGCAAAAAATGGTGACATTTTCTGATGACCTCTATTCCTCAGACACTCCACAGCATCACTAATTTTGGTAGGACATCCCACTCCAGATCCAACAAGTATTCCGGCACGATCCTTATTGATCTGCACGCACCATCAGAAAGTACCGTAACCTTCAGTTCCAATTTTTAGAGACATGAAAAAGAGAATGTGTTTCACATTTTGTTCTCATTTTATAGCATAAATCAGTCAAGAAAGAGAAGTTAATTAAGGTTGTTAAATGATCATTAATCGGTAATTGTTGATTTAACAGTTGAGATCTAAATGGAAATTTGGTTTTGACTTTGGGTTAACCAATTGGTGATATTTATCGCATCTTGGAAATAGATGTTTTGATTATTTGGGAAATTTTGTCTTGCTTAATGCTTCTTTTTAGAATCAACCGACATGGAAATAATCGATTTTCAATTACGAATGATTTTTGTTGCCTTGGAAAAAGGGGTAAAAGTAACGTTTGAGTTTGGCAAATCCCAATTTGAAAAGTCCAAACTAGTATTCACCATTTTAGATAGGTTAGTGTATAATATAATGTTTTTCAATTTGAGTTTCTAGCAGCGTCCGATGGTACATTTCTGCTTAATACACCAACAATTCTCATCATTGTGTAAAATTGTTTAGTTTTATCGTTGATTATTGTATTTGATAATCTAGATCTAGGATTTATTTATCTTGTTTAAATTATTTTCTTCGTATATCAGTTCTTGTTTAATCATGTTTACCTGATTTATTTTTCATAGTTTAAGGTGGACATTCGTAGGGAATTGATTTATATCGATTATTTGTCTTGAGTAAACAATTTCTTTTTTGATAAAATGGTTGCTTGATTAGCCGACTAACGAAAGCTAAGGGTTGTTAAATGGTCATTAATTGGGAATTGTTGAGTTAACAATTGAGATCTAAATGGAAATTTGGTTCGGACTTGGGTAAACTCATTGGTGATTTTTATCACATCAAGAATGAATCGATATGTAAAAAATAGATTTTCAGATATGAAAGATTTTTGTCGCCTTGGAAGAGGAGCAAATTAACATTTGCATCTGGCAAATCCCAATTTGAGAATTCCAAAACGGTGATCACCATTTTAGATAATTTAGTGTAGGATTTAATGTTTTTCGATTTCCATTCCTAGTGCTAATTAGATTGTCATTCAATTCTTGTTTTAGTTGTTAATCTAGTTTTACTTGCTCCTTAATCTTCGTGTGTTTATATAGCCTTGTTTGATTCTTAACTTCGTTATCTTCGGTGTAACGTAAGTGATTAGTTATGTTATTTGATTTCTAGTATTAACCCAATTTTTGATAATTGATTGCGTGCAACTAGCTAATACCGTGAGTAAATCTGTTATTATTCCCATGTCTCCCCGTTTCAACCCGTATTCTACGTCCTACGACATTGTACGCTTATGGTTACAGATGATTTTAAAACTTAGATATAATGAATCACTCACACACACACATACCTTGGAGCTTTCATCACCACCAAGAGAAGCATCTTCAAGAGCTTTTTTCCCTGCAACAATACAGTACCATTGTTGATCGTCAAGTTTCGGTTCTTTTTTGGCTTCAATATAACCATCTACGTTGAACCCACGAATCTGACCACCAATTCGGATTGGGTACTTTGAAGCATCAAATTTATCGATTAATGTGATTCCGTTCTCTCCAGCTAAGAGGCTGTCGTAGTATGTATCAACATTGTTTCCAAATACGGAGACAAGGCCCATACCAGTAACAACCACTCGTTTTTTGGGATCTTTCTCCCGTTTTAGGGATGTGGCAGAAGTTAATACTTGGCGACGTGCACTGGTGGTGCGTGCTGGTGATTTGACAAATACGGGTAAAAAGTTTCTTGGGAGCGGGTTGATCAGTGGGGACACCGAGACAACTGTTGTCAGAAGAAGATCTTGAGCTTCCATTATTTTAAGAGTCTTATGTGGAAGATTTTGAAGCATTTGACTTGACCATTTGACTTGACCGTTAGATTTAAGAGAAAAAGAAATATGGTTGTCTACTCAATCAGTCAATTGTGAGTCAGACATGTGGAATCGAAGCAAAATATAAATAAAATAACCTACTACCCAGGAGATAATTATGGCTAAGCTAAAAGAGTTACTATGTAGGAGATAATTATGGCTAAGCTAAAAAAGTTACTATCCTGTAGATAACGGCTAAGCTAATCTACAATTTATATTCAAATGAGAATGCTTTTTTTACGAGTAACTACCATACACTATCAAACAAGTTCACATTTTCGGCGGCTCTATCCACCAAAACTCCGCCAGAAAAAAAGAATTTCCGGTGGATAGAACCGCCGAAAAAAGCGGTGTCAATGATTAATTTTCCGACGAATTTTCTTTTTAATGGAATACGGCCGCCAAAAAGTTTCCCCATAAAAAATCTTTATTAAATTAAGAAAATATTTAAGTTTTTTTTTAAATTGAATTAAATTACTGGTGGATATATCCGTCGAAAATCTGCCGGTAATTTTATCCGTCGGAAATTATTTTATTTATAAAATAATTATTTTTATATCTTAAACATTTCCGGCAGATTTATCCCCTGGAAATTTATTTTATTTTTAAAATAATTTTTTTTATTTTTTAAATAAAATAATTATTTCCAACGAATATATATGTCGGCAATCTGCTGGAAATTTATAAAATTATTAATTTTAAAATATTTTTCCAGTAAATGTTTAAAACCTGTACTTAAAACCTGTAAATCTGTAAATGTTAAAAAAAAGCTAGAAAAAATGAAATGCGCTAAATATCATATATTAAACCAAAAAACAATTATCCGACCAATTTAAAGTAGCCCGTAATTGTTCCAAACAAAAATTAAATTGTTCCAAACAAACAGAGGATATTTAATACGGGGGCTGGGGAAATGTTTAGATTGATTGAGTTGTCTGGCCAAAACAACCATATCTTCAAGTTGTTTATCATGTCGCTCCTCCTTCTCCCGCCGTCGCTCGTCCTCTGCCCGCCGTCGTTGATTTTCTTCATGTAAATCTCTAAGTTCATTCCTTAAGGCTTCAATTTCCTATAAAACAAAGAAAACGTTATAATATTTAATATGAATTATAAAATAAATCGATAACATCGTCAAAGGAAAAGAGGCACATACACGACTCTCTAAAGACGATGGACCATCTTGTGTGTAGTTCCCAGTCAAGACCCAACTGGGATCCTAGTTGTACTCAAACCCAAATAGACGGTCTTTCTTACTTCCCCCAACCGCCTGTTCTCACAACTTTGTATCAACTAAGGATAGGTGGAGGGATCATTGTCGTATATTTGGATGAGGTCCATTGAATAGTCATCCTATATATGGTTTAAAAAAAATTACAAGCAATTTTGACAACATGACGACTGTAAATGGGCCGTTTCTAGACAGTGATACATACGAAATTTATAGACAGAACAATCCTAACATTTGCCCAACAAATGGTAACTTAAATTAAATATTGATACATACGAAATTTATAACTTAAATAATTCTAATGTTTGCCCAACAAATGGCAACCCAAACTAGATATATATATATATATATATATACACACACACACACACACACAGAGTTAGATTTTAATTTAAATGACTCAAACTTTTGTCCAACAATTAATGGCAACCCAAACTAGATAGATAGTTATGTACCCAATTATAAACATTAAAATAGATAGATACTTACCATGACCTGACTACACTTAGAGATCACATACCCCCCAGAATCCGTAGATGCGACATCTCCACTCGACCTCTTCTTATGCGTATGATCGAACAATTCCACAACGGTCGGTGGCACACCGTCTTTTGCTTATGTCTACAAAGGTCAAATAATACGAACATGCGTTAATTATAATATATTAAAAATCAAGCTACTAAAGTAATAGGTTTTAGGTCCTACCAAATGAGCACCATGCCTCGAAAATAGGATCGATCCACCGGTGTGTAGCACAACTTAGATATCACGGTTCTCACGCGCCACACGGGAAACAACTCTCCAATTGTCATTGTTCCCACAATCGACCATCTGGCTCCACGTATTTGAAGATATCCAGCTGGGGGAGGGGGGGGGGTTTCAACACACTCATATCCCGGTATGGGTCGGTTTCATCGTATTGAGGATATTCATTCCTCTTTGCTTCTTCTCCAGCTTTCTTCCTCGCGGCACTCAAGTTGTCATTGTTTGGCTTGACCGACTTTCTCTCCCATGTATCTAGAATCTGGGCGTCCAAAGCCGAATCCCAAGTGTAATAGCCATGTACGTAAAAATTTAATCGATTCTTAGGTTAAATAAAATAGCAAAAGTATAACAAGTTGAATATATACCACGAACCTCAAACCGCTCCCACATTCGGCGTCTCACGTCCCTTGGGATTTTTTCCCAAGTGATCCATGGGCCGTCAAGCAGCTCTTGGTTGATCCGACAGATCACTCTAGTGTCATTAAAACTATATAAATAATGAATGGAATTTGCATCAATACAAAGAACAATTATATTTATCAATTAAAAGATATAAATTTATTTACTCTTTGCCGCGGATGCAAATAACCGTCCGCTGCTGTGGAAGCGGCTCCGGAGCAGCGCTACCACGCCCAAACTCTATCTACTCCAGGTGTGCCGAAGCACTACTAGAAGCTCTAACCGTACCGCGGCTAGGTGTACTACACTACCAATACGATTCATTAAATCCCAATAGAACCATTAAAGCCTAATTAACATCCACTAAAGCCTAATAGAACAGTTAAAGCCCAATAAACATCCATTAAAGCCGAATACGATCCATTAAGAATATATGTAATATTTTACACACACACACACATATATATATATATATATATATATATATAAGTTTGAAAAATGGAAAAAAAAATCAAAAATTCACCGGAAAGTATTAAATTTTTTAAAGAAAATCTTGAATAATTTATTATTTTAAATTACCGGCGGCCTCCAGTATCCGCCGGAAATTTAAAATAATAAATTTTCATTTTTAATTATTTTCTGACGGATTTCCGATGAACGTTAATCTTAAAAAATTAATCAAAAATCCGCCAGTAAATTATTGTAATTAGAGTTAATAGTTTTGTAAAATATAATTTGTAAAATCCGCCGGAAATATTGTCGAAATATTTTGCTGGCGGATTTTTAACGAAAGTCAATTTTTTTGTTATTCGTCGGAAATACCTAGTTTTGTAGTAGTGATACCATTTAGATGAACCATAGAAGATGAGATTCATCTGCTTTAACAAATAAATGATAGGTATGAATATATAAACATATTCATCTCTCTCTCTCTCTTATATTACATAATGTTTAATAAATTTTTATCGATATATATTCAATGATATAAGTATTTCTTTTACTTTTGGACGAAACACAATGTTTTAATGAAAATGTCCAAAAATCTGCAATTTTTTGCGTGTTACATAAAATGAAGTTACTAATTCTGATTTTTATTCATAAGTTCATATTATATTTATTAGAACAAAATTTATTTTATAGGACATGAAAGATGTCTAAATATTTAATTAACTTATAATAAAGCTTATGTTCATAAAATTACACGGTTGTATTTTTTACGTAAATATGTTACAATAAGATAATAAGATGTACATGAAAATCCTAATTACTTTTAATGATATTTTTCAAATAAAGTGTTATATTAGTTTTTTTTATAAATTAATTATGGAACTGATTTATAAACATATATTTTTACATTACAGTTGTTTTTATAAGAAACATTACAAATGATTTAATATAAAAAAATTGATAGAACATTTTATATGTTCTGAAAAACACGTAAGGGTGTCCAAAAATATCTTAGGAACTTATTGTATCACATTTATTTATACTAGAAGAATTCTTGCACAATGCAGTGAGATACATTTCAATTTTAATATTTTGTTTTATTCGTTGTCTTTGTCGATATATACGGTTTTACATGGTTTTGAGAAAAGAATAATGTATTTATTTTTGTATAAAGTATAAATTTAAAGATATCATAAAACTTTGAAAAAAATATCGATATTAGTATCAAATTAATTATTTAAATATTCTTGTTTTTAATAATTTTTTTAATTCATTTTTTTTATAATTTAATTTATGTTTAATAAT